CAGGAAGTAGAATAGAGCGTTGATCTTTACTGTGGGTGCAGGCGGAGGGCTGACCTCGGGTGGTGGGCAGCATGTCGGACAGGCCCTGCCACGCCGTCACCATCTCCGGGTTCTTCTGGTCGGCGAAGTTCTTCCAGATCCGCAGCGCTCCGTCATCTGCAAACACAGCAGAGTGTGTGTGAGGTGTGTGTGTGAGGAGTGTGTGTGAGGTGTGTGTGAGGTGTGTGTGTGAGGTGTGTGTGTGTGTGTGTGAGCAGGAGGTTTGATGAAAATAAATAAAACCTTGAACTCCACCGTAAACACAACTTTTAAGAGAAAAACGGAGATCTTCAGAGGAAGCAAAGCCGGGAGCATAAACCACGAGGAAGTCGTTACCGCCTATAAAAGTGATTCACGTCTCGCCTTTTCTTTCCTTCTGTGTCTTTAATGTCCCGCCGCTGGAATCCTTCGCAGCACGGCGGGCGAATGAGTGCACACTGACGCGGTGGAATCTGGATTTATGAATCCCCGAGCAAACTGAATAAACGCTCTGACGTCGGCTCGTCCTTCCCGTCGGTGTCTAACCAACAAACGAGCCTTTTCTGTGTCTGTGCTTCCAAACCTGTGGCGGTGAGCAGCAGCGAGCAGTCGTGTCCGTTCAGGTACTCCATGGAGGTGATGCGGGTGTAGCGGGGGTTGCCGTTGTAGAAGTAGTCCAGCCGCTCGCCCTTCTCCCAGTCCCAGAAGCTGCAACACACAATCAGACAGAATGAAGCCGAACCGTTCGCACCACCTCTCCCTGCACGACGAGTTCACGACGTTCAGACGCTCACCAGATGCTGTCCTTGTCGGCCACGGCGATGCAGGTGTTGAACGGGTGGAACTTGACGACGGACGGCACTCCGGGGTTTCGGTTGATGAAGATCTGGTCGTCCAGACGGGAGACACCTGAAGGAGGAAAACCCAGAGTGAGAAGAACGCTTTGATATAAAGTCCAGAACCTCTACGGGAACAGAACGACCAGGACGAGGAGGAGAGACTCAGACATGTCTTCTGACACAGAACGACAAAAATCATAAAAAACTTTTAAAAAAGAAGTTGAATTTCTTTGATTACATATTTTACAAAAATTGAAAAAACTTGGACTCAACATTTTCCAGGTGCCTCCAGATGTTACCAATGGAGACTCTACACACTGTAGATATTTAACTGTTTGTACTTTTTAAATTAGTTCCACACTCGTCTCCGCTCTGTGTTAGCAGCCTGCAGTTCAACTGAAAAGTCACTGATTTTTTGTCAGGCGACTGTTAATCGCAGCAGAGTCAGTCATGGCTTCCCGGTTTTGCTGAATTATGCCGAATTTTTATTTTTTTGTAGAATATTTTTCAAGCAAACTGTTTATTTGAGGGGAATGTTAATCGTACCAGTCAGTCGTGGCTTCATGGCAATAAGTGTAGAATTTTCTGTAATTTTCTTTCTTTCTTTCTTTTTTTTTAACAGAATCTGATGTTTCCAAACTGTTTATTTGTGGATTTTTATTTTTTATTTTTTTTAAAGCGAGACGTCTCCTCTGAGCTCTGTATAAATGCAGCCTGCAGCTCAACCCAATTCAGACCAAAAGTAACAGAATTTTTGCCACACGTCTGTTAATTGCTGTTGAATCATTAACAGCTTCACAGTTGCACCAAGGAGTGAAGAATTTTTTTATTTTTTATTTTTACAGAATATGGTTTATGTTTAGCAAACTTTTGAATGAGACACAGAATAAGGTGAGGAAAAAAAAAAAACGAAATTAGATCTTTAAAAATTATTTCACAAAAAAACAAAAACAAACTAGAATCAACATGTACAACGTTTCTCAAAGTGCCCTCAGGTGTTGCCAACACTAGAATAAAAGGCGACTCTATATCTCTATAGATAACTGGTTTCCATGAACACTGCCTGCAGTTCAGCGAGACGTCTCAGACGGTTGGTCATGTGACCGTTGGGCTACTTTGGGCTTCACAGCTGCAAACAGGCTGCAGAACATTTAGCTTCGTACGGAACACGTTTAGTGCTAGCGGCTAATTTTTGGTTATGGAGCGATTTTGACGAATTTTGACGATGCTCAGATTTACATTAGACGAGTAGTTCAAGGACCGTTGGAAAGCCGAATGTCTGGCACGTTGTTTAGTCGTTCTGGTGATTCCTTTAAAGACGACGGCCCTTTTCAAACCCACCGACGGGTTCTGGGGTTCAGAGGTGGTACCTTTCACTCATCTTTGTTAGTTTCTCTTTAATCGCTGGTTCTGTGATGGTGCTTGTAGGGGTTCTGTCGGTGATCTGGTTCTGAACTCTTAAAAATGGGTTTACTGAAGGGGAATAAAACAGATCCAGAAACCGGATTAGATCTAGAGCCGGGTTTGGATTGGGTAGGTTTATATCTGGATCGGGGTGAATGAATCCAATGTAGGTCTGAAAAACCAACACGAAACCCAGATGGATCCACCTGAACCTGGACAGAAAATGTGGGATTTTCAAACCTGGATCTGGATCAAAGTTTCTGCTGCTTGTCAGATGTACAGATAATGAGGAACTGCTCTCCTTCCTCCATCTTCATCTAAACCCTGAGGATCTGCTCTTCCAGGTTCTAGTTTGTGACCCGTTCTGCTCAGACTCGGGTTCTGTGGTATCGACACCAGGGTGAAGTGTTTGTTTGATTTGAGTCGTTCTCGTTGCAGCGGAGAGCCGACGCACTTCATTTTGTTCTCATGTGGTTGAGTTAGCATTCTGATGTTATTTATGACTGTGGGACCTTCGGGTTAGTTGGTTTTTTAACTTCTTGACCTGCCAGTAAATAGAATCACGTCTTTGCCGACGTCCTTCCTTCTACGCTGCTCCCTTCCCCCCTTCAACCGACCAATAGAAACCAGCAGCATCACAACCTGGAACAGAAAACCACCTGAGAGCCACGATTACTGCGACACATGCGGTTATTTAACTGGACTCGCAGCTGCCGGCGTGTTCAGGAATACCAACGACACCGTGGGCCTCGGGGCTCACCAGATCGGTTAATACGCCAAAGTCAGACCGCCTGAGGGCATTATTCAGGGCTGCAGGGCCCGAGCCTGGAAATGGAGATTTTTATAAACTGGCTATAAACTGGCGAGGCAATTTTCTGAAACAGCTGGGCACCGTAGTCTTTAGCAAACATCCATCAAACTACAGATTGAACTAGATTAAAGTGTCCCTGGTGGATGAATACGCTCTCCAGTTGCAGGACGATATATGTGGAAATGCATCGAGTTGCCTGTTAAAAAAAAAACATTTTGTGTCATGGACCTTTAATTTTACAATTTTATTCCACGTTTCAGTTTCACACGAGCTTTAGTTTTCTTGGTTCAGCTATTCTTCAGTTGGTCTTTGTGTCCATTTGTCTGTCTAGGTGGAGCCACGATGCAGACATGTAGTCATCTTTAGAAACTCTTGTGTGCTTTGTCTCATCAGCCACTAGTTTTTGGTACATCTACAGGCACTGATGGTGCATCTATGAATGTCTCCGTGAAGATTCTCAGTCATCCAGGTCATGGTTATTCTCATAGATTAATCATCATTCCATGTGCCAAGTTTTATGCATCTGCCAATTTGTTTTTTTAGTCCTAAAATCTGCAGGAAGAAGACTCAGTCAGTCGAGTCAGTTTAGGAAGACTGAAGTTCTGATTAGCGGTACTACGGCTCCTTCTACACCTCGTGGTTACTTTGTGATCCAGCGTACGATCGTTTTCAAAAACCAGAATAAGTAAAAAATCCAGATTGCAAAAGTAAAAGACTTGAGGCGAGTAAAGGAATAAACCATATTAGTCAGTGGGCAGCAGGAGATCTGAGGCGGAGTCCCTCAAGGTTCAATTCTAGGACCTCTAACGGTTGGTCAATAAAATAATGAATTTCCTTCCCGCTGAGCAGTTTCAAGTTGATTAGACATGATTAGACATGATTAGACATGATTAGACATGATTGGACATGATTGGACGGCTGGATTCAGCTTCATCGCATTGATTTTCTACTTTGGGGTCTGAATTTTTTCAATGCGGTTTTGCTAAATTATTTGTTTTTGATTGTTGATGAACAGAAACGCTCCACTGTTCAACTTAAAAAAAATGCAAATATTAAGAGTTAGTGAGTCGAATACCAGCTCAGTGATTCAGCGTAGCAGAAACCAGAACATGCCGGAGAAAGTAAAAATATCCAGATTGGAAAAGCAAAGACTTGAGGCGAGTAAAGGAATAAAACATATGAGTCAGTGGGCAGCAGGAGATCCGAGGTGTGTAAATAATGTCCAGTTGTGCACCTCCACGAGCAACCGCACAAACACGCTGATGCAACTGCTGTACCGCGCGTTGTCATGGCAACAACACATGCCGGCTCACCGGGCCTGTCCCTGGCGACGTGAACTCGCTCTCGAGACCAAAATAATGAGATGTAGAAGAATGAGTAAAAAAAAAATAAGTGTATCACAGATGGAAGTAGTTGTAGGGAAGAGAGGCCGAGGACTTTGGGTAAAAGCCGGGAGAGATCATCGGCTTTTTGCTTCTGCCAGCCGAGTCGATAAGGAGCTCCTGTTAAATCTGAAACTACACTGTGCACCAGTGAGAGACGAGAAACTCCAGTCGGATCAGGCTCACGGGCTAAAATACCACTTTTTCTACTGTTTCTATCTTTGCTGCCTCCTCTCTCTCTCTGGGCAGACTGAGGGCAGCCCTACGACTTCTCTCTTTCAGAAAACTGTGAGGGAAATTCAATGATTTGCCGGGGAGCTTGAAAAAAAAAAAAACAGAAGATGAGAGGGGTGAGACATGTGCGTGAGCAAACCTCAGCTCTGACGCCATTCGCCTTGTGACTCGGTGCGAGTGTCGGGTCGTGGATGTGTGAAGGGGGGCTGCCGCTGACGTCGGGGGTGTTAGCGATTCTGTTTGAGGAAGGGCTAACGGCGCCGTGGGAGTCTGCAGGATGCTTCCTCCGGCTCTTTAATGTGCGATTCTGTGTGTGTCTGTGTTTGTTGGGGGTGGGTGGGGGGAGTCCTGTGAGTCACAGAGCAGGAAGTTTCCAGCTGTGGATCGGCTTCAATCCATCTTCTCATCGCTGGGAAACATGTGCACACTCGCTCGGTGTAATCCTGGCATGTGTCTCGGTCGGTTTCTCTGGATTTCACCCCAGATTCTGTTCCCTAAACATTAAATTAAACATGACTCTGGCTGATTCTCGGGGCTCCTGAGATCTGACCACAGATGTCAGAAAGGACTGGTGGAAAATGAATATGATCATCTAAGACACGGGAGTGATTTGTCCTTGAGGAGTCGTATAATCAAGTAGATGCGGAGTCCCTCAAGGTTCAATTCTAGGACCTCTAACTATCTAAATTTGCTTCCTGCTGAGCAGTATTTCAGCTGATTAGACATCAAACAGGTACATCAATATTGAATTAGTTCAATAGTGAAAGTTCAGTAGACGTCTAGATCACATGTTGATGTTTCAATGTCATTTCAATGTTTAAATATATACGCGACTGGAACAAAAACAGGTCCAAAGGTTCAGTCGAGGTTCAGTTAGTTCAATAATTGAAATGTGTTTTTCATACTTTCCATATTCACATTGTACTTTTATATTAAAGAGATTTTGATTTCTTGAATTAACTGACTTTAATAACTGGGATTTTGATTCATGCTGTAATTGTAACAGATTTTTCTTTTTGTCTGTATTTCAGCCTCATTCTGCTCCAAAAACATTAAATTAAACATGATTCTGGCTGATTCTCGGGGCTCCTGAGATCTGACCACAGATGTCAGAAAGGACCGGTGGAAAATGAATATGATCATCAAAGACACGGGAGTGATTTGTCCTTGAGGAGTTGTATATTGAAGTAGAGGTGGAGTCCCTCAAGGTTCAGTTCTAGGACCTCTAACGGTTGGTGAATAAAATGATTAATTTGCTTCCTGCTGAGCAGTTTTCAGTTGATTAGACATCAAACAGGTACATAAATGTTGAATTAGTTCAAAAGTGAAAGTTCAGTAGACGTCTAGATCACATGTTGATGTTGTTTTGATGTCATTTCAATGTTTAAATATGCGAAAAACGTCCAGAAGTTTACTTGAGGTTCAGTTCATAAAGTATTCAAATGTGTTTTATTTTTATACTTTTCATACAAAGATTGTTCTTATACATCAAAGATATTTTTATTTTTTCAATTAAATGACTTCAATAAGTTTGGGATTTTGATGTATGTTGTAGTTGTACCAGACTTTTCTGTATTTCAGCCTCCTCCTGCCCTTATTAAGGCTCCATTAACATTCAAATAAACACACAACTGCTTGTATCATGTAAGGCCAAAGCGATTAAAACCTGGGATGACATTCAGTTCATTAATTTAGCTTAATTTCTGTGCAAATGAATTCTTTATGTAAAGCGAAGTCCAGAGTTTCTTCTACCTGTGAAATGGGAACTACTTAGATAAACAAGAAGACTCAAGTCAACACATTTGTAAAAGTTTGTTTCTTCGTAGCCGTGCATGATGCTAACCTCTCTGCGTGATGCTCCGACTCTGCCGTCTCACGCGAGCGTTCCTCAGAAACCTCCACTGCCGCTCCATCCTCACCTGGCTCTCCAGGTCGTGCTCCTCCGGGATCTGAGACGACAAAGAAAACAGAAACACAACTCGTCACTTCGTTCGGAACATTTCTGAAACGTCGGGAGTGCGTCCGTCTGTTCTGCCTCGACTCCGCTGGAAATCTGTCACACTTCTGCTCGATTTAAATTTCAAAGTCGAGCTCAGAATTAAAATTCCGTCTTGATCATTTCTTTTTATTTTTTAGCATTCAGTGACCGCTGCACCAGATAATGGCTCCGAGTTCCCTCCTTTATGAGAAGAACCAGAACTCTTCTCGGGATAATTGGTGTTTATCAGCGAGTCTCGACAGACCGGCGGGCTTCTGTCGGGTTCTGAGCGACGGGAGGAAAACAAAAAAGCAACGACTTGAGAGGAAGCAGGTTTCTGGTAAACAAACACACGCTGAGTTTCTCACTTTTGTTTGTGGTCTGATTAAAGTTCGTTTCCCTCAGAGCGTTTGTACGACTGGTCTGATGAACATTTTGTAACCTGGACTGTTCACATAATGGAGTCATCACAAGAAAAGACTTTAAACTGCACAGATTGAGTTTTATTGGTTTCAACTTGACCCTGTTGTCGTGTTCATCGAGCCTCTAATCACGATTTATTCTGAATTTATACAGACTTTACTCCACATTGAGCTCACTTTGCTTGATGTTCGTGTGTGATTTTGAACATAACTCAGCTCTACGGCTCTTTTTCAAACCTTTAAATGATTTAAAAAAAAAAGATTTTCTACTTTGCTAACTTTAAAATCACAAACGTCTCATTTAAAAAGCAGCCTGTGGGTTTGAACGGTTTGTTATCAGAGGAAGAATCTGTAAAAAACAAGGAAGTGAACAGTCTGTGAACTAATCATCTGCGCTGGTAATTAAATCTAAGCTTGAACTTGCAATAAATCATCATAATTAATTTAGTTTTTTTTTTCTTATCTAACAAATTGCCAAAAAAATAAACAATTTACTTCAACCAGATTCTGCAAAAAAATGAAAAAAAATAATCAACATTTTTTTGTTGCAACCAGAAATCAAGTAAATTATTAAAACATCTAGTTTATGGAGCCACCTGTTTTATTTTATTTTTTCTGGAGTTGGTAACACCTTTGTGCTCTTGGACAAATGCTGTGATTCCAGTTTTTTTTTTTTTTTTTTTTTAATTTTTGTAAAAATAAATATTCAAAGAAATTCAACTTCTGAGACTTCAAATCATCCATAGAGATAAAAACACAAATATCTATGGAGATATATACGTTTTTTTTCTAGTACTGGAAACAGAAAAATGTCGTACATGTTGATTCTAGTTGTTTTTTGGGGGAAACAACTATAAAACATTAATTTAGTTTTTTCATTTTCAACCATTTATTGTATTTTTTGCACAGAAGACATTCTGAAGTTCTGTCTCCTTCTAGTCACGGTTCTGCTGTTTCCATAAAGCTGCAGGACTCGAGTCCTAAACCTGCAGCACATTTCTAAATATACCAAACTATTCCTTTAAGACTCGGACACTTTGCACCTCCACTAGCAGCTTCTTCTCCTTCTTCTTTTTTTAAAAAAACTTTCCTCATCGCCGCGTCCTCTCAGGTTGCTTCTGCGGGAGATAATGAGTCGAGGTATCAGGTTCACTTTACGTAACGGCATCTCATCGCAGCGGGCGCGCACAGGGACGATATTAACTTTATTAAGTCTTACGTAACCGCGCAGAACTCATTCCTGCAGAAGGACTCTGTTAAATATGCAGAGCGTCGCGTGAAGCAGACGTTTTCTTTTCTGCCGAATATATTAGAGTCATAAATTAAAAATTGTGAATAAACACCAGAGTGTAAACGTTAGCGCCGGCTGATGCAGCTGCTCGGCGCCGCGTGGCCTCGCTACTACCGCCAGTCGTCAGTACTCCTGCAACGCCGTCGCTCAGCACGCTCTTTAACACCTCCGAGCAGGTAGATGGGCGTGTAGGCGCTTCACACGGCGACGTCTCCGGGGGTTTTTGGCGCCTGACCGAGCCTGAAAGGAGGCAGGTTCAGCAAACAGAGGAGAGAGTGTGTGCGCCAAGGTAAGAGGCAGCTGATGGTGTCGCTGGAGTCCTGCACTGTGTCAGCTGCTAATGCAACGTATAATGAGGCCCTGAGGTGAGAGATGTGTGCGAGGCTCCTGCAGAGCTCTGCACGCTGTGGATGTGCCGCAAATCTACAGCAGCCACAAGCATGTGGACGCTGCATTACAGGGGAGCGTCTTCTGCTTGCATATTGTCACATTCCCCCGAGAACAGTCTGTCGTTTGTGTTCTGCTGGGTTTAGAACTCACCACAAAGTCTCACGTTCTGGTGGAAAATACTAAACATCCCATTCGTGTCCTCGGATTGAAAAGCAGCTCGTCTTTAGAAGAAGAAAAACCACCCAGAGCGCTTCATTTGTCACAGATGGAAACTGAACAGAATCGTGTGTGATGCGCCGTCTGGTCGGCAAACAAACCAACCGAAGCTCCAAGTCGGTCCATTAAACTAAAAATACAGCGTTTTAACCACGTAAACCATGAAATGAACATCAGAAAATTCTAATTTAGTTATTAAACCTTCTGACAAACAAGGTCTATTCACATATATGAGTTTTAATTTGTATTATTTTTTGGTGCATGAGTCGCTGATCTGTGGTGGTTATCGGCCTTTCATTGAAAGTCCACGGGCCGCCATTTCCACGCCGCCAGACTTTTGACGAGTGTTTTAATGACTTTAAATCAATTTCAGGTGTGTACGATGTTCCCCCTAGGAGGAGAGAGATTTTGAAAATGGCCCAAAAATGAGCAAAAATGGGTCATAATGCTCGCCATTTTTCCAATATGGTGGATTGGCTGTTGGGTTTAGGGCTTGGTGCTAATTGACTTTTTTGTGCGTCCCGACCTGCTATATATGCCCACCAAATTTCGTAGCTGTAGATGAAACGGCCTTCCAACGGGACTCTGACGAATGGTGGAAACACAGCGAAAATGCGGAAAATGGCGTTTCATTGAAATTGCTTGGGCCGCCATTTCCATGCCATCAGACTTTTGAGGAGCGTTTTAATATCTGTTAATGACCACATCTGGTTGTAGGTGCTGGCCAAATTTCAGGGGTGTACGATGTTTCCTCAAGGAAGAGATAGATTTTGAAAAAGGTTTGAAAAAGGCCAAAAAATAAGCGCAAATTGCCAAAATTCTCGCCATCTTTTTTCAAAATGGTGGACTTCCTGTTGGTTGTAGGACTTGGCGCTGGCTGGATGGCTTTTTGTGCATGCCGACCTGCTACACATGCCCACCAAACAGCTGTAGGTGAAACGGCCTTCCGACAGGAGTCTGTTGAATGGCAGTAAGCACCACGTCCGGTTGTAGGTGCTGGCCAGTTTTCAGGTGTGTACGGTGTTTCCTCAAGGAGGAGATAGATTTTGAAAACGACCAAAAATAAGTGAAATGAAGGACTTCCTGTTGGGTTTATGGAAAAGCGTTAGTTTTTGTTTGTCTCGACCTGCTACATGTGGCCAGTTTGCCATTGACACGTCCAGTTCCTTTAAAATGACCTGCGTGGTGACTTGTGGAGTTTCTGAGCATGTGTAGGGCCTCAAAATCGTTTCCTGGGAACAAGAAGGTAGAGTTCCCAGAGGGTCCTTGGCCTGTTAGTGCTCGGACTGTAATGATGTGAACACGGACGTCCACGTATGTGAACCGAACATGTTAAATACAAACTCCATCAGTCTTCGGCGTCCTTGCAGCTCCTCGACTTGCCGCCGTGGACGGGCCGAGGCGAGCGTCTCGGTGCTGCTGACGCGGTGATATGATAACCCGACTCGCAACACGCGCTCGCTTTGTGATGGAGTCGAGTTTTATGGCAGCACTCAAAATCTTGCCGACGCAGCGTTCCGACTCGCTTCCCTCTCGTCGTTTCATCACCTCGCGCTGCCACTTCTGGCTCCGTCTTCCCTTCATGCCGACTTCGCTTTCACCGCCTGTGTTCCTCGCCTCCTCCCACGTCTGCTCCTCAAATGTTTTGCTTTCAAACGCTTCTCTCCGTCTCGCGTAAATATTTCATTTCATTAAAATCTCTTCTCCTCTGTTTGACCCCCCTCCAACGTTTCCCTCCTCCTTTGTTTTAAAGAAGACAAATGTGCTGACGCCGGGCGTTGACACAGACGGACGCTCGACTTAACATCGAGGAATTTAGGCAGCGACCACCGTGCACGGCCTCCGTTAATCTCAGATTCCACTCAGGAGGTTTTACAGACGCCCTGTGGAAGCAGCGGGTCTTCTTCTCTCCCCGTCACCTGCTGGGCTCCATAAAATAAACTCTACGACGTGGGCCGTATATTCAACATCTACACTCTTTGTTCAAACATAGTTCAGTGTGAATAAACCTCAGCAGCAGCAGCAGCAGCTCGACTTCACCTAAAAACACCTCGGCGCCAGTTAGGGGATGCGTTACCGTGGCAACCCATCATCATCGACGCCGGTACCAGCTCACCTGATGTTGGACACGAGTTGTTGTTTACTATGTGTGCTACTGCTGCACTGCATCGTGGGATATTTATGCTCTAGTCATGTATTCTGCCTGCATGTTGTCATTTTCTACAGCAGCTTGCGTTCTATGAAGGTTCTGGACGTCCTACAAAGTCTTTAACGGTAGTTTAACAGATTAAATATCGGAGCTAACAAACAACAACTACAGTCGTGACTCGATGACCCGACACTAAATGTAAAACCTTCTGTTATGTCGGATATCAAGGCTGTCGGATCGTCAAGACGGAGGTCCAGATACGAGGAGGGCTTGATGCTGGAAGGATCATTAGTTGTTCATTATTGTTCATAGTTGTTATAATAACTAGTAGGGCTGGTCCCAACAGAACTTTCTGCTCTCTGGATATTCAGGCCCAGTTAATGATGAATATCAGAACATTCGGCGGGTCGGGGGACACTTCCACCCCGGGGCAGCACTCTGACGGGGTGGAAGTGTCCAGAACACACAGGCAGTACTTGGCTGCTGATGCTAGTTTAGTTAGCGCTCACACTTCTGTTTCCTCCATCGGTGGCGGCGGGGGAGTGGCAGATACGCTCCACCGTTACCATCCATGTTTACTTCCATAAACACTGAGCACGCTCGCTGCGTGTGACGTCGTCGTGTCCTCTTGTGCGCATGCGGGACACTTTTGGCTCGTATGAAGTTCACACAGCAGATCACATACAAGTCGCATTGAAGTGGAAACGTGAAGGAAGTCACAAAGAAATCCTCATTGAGCATCAAGTCCTGCAGTGTGAACGTAGCCAATCTGTGGGATTGTTCAGTCAGATAATACGCCGTCATCCTGATTGGTGACATTAAATGTCATGTCGGAGTCACAATCCAAGGCTGTCGCTATGTTAAGACTGTTTTTATGGGTTCTGTTGGTTTTTCCTAAAAACCTGTCGGATAGCAGGTTCTGGATTGTTAAGGGTCGATTATGGAGTCACGACTTTAATGTGCAACAACAATTGATCTGAATCCACACTGAGCAAAAACATGCTAATTAATTAGAAATCTTCTGCATGTTTCCCAAAATATCCAAAGCACAGACGGTTAACAAAGAAAGAATAAATAAAGAATAATATTAACCAGACAGAAATGTGAGCAAAAAACATCCTGGAACTTAATTATGAAATAAACATTTTCTTTTGTCAGATGTGGCTGCTGTAGGGGCCAAAAAATGCAACTTGTTTACGAAAAATATGATGAATTCAGTGTCAGACAAACAAAATATGCATTTCAAAGGGTGATAATTTTATAGGACCCCACACACGAAAAACCAAAATGAGTTAAAACCCAAAAACAATTATATATTTAGTTTGTTAAATACGGCATGAACTGTCATGTAAAGCTCATTTTTGTAATGTTTCTCTGCTGCTGTAGAGATTTTGAAAATAGATAAAAAACAACAACCAGAGGACATCACTGAACATTTGCTGCAAAAACAAACAATGTGGTCTCAACTGTAATATTTTAATTAGTCGCATAAATCCGTCACATTAATCTCATATGTTCTGTTTGTATAAATAACTCCGCCGTGCTGAAAACTGCTGCAAACTTCCTGATGGACTTGTGAGACGGATCCACAGAAATACGTCCAAACCTGAAAACTACCTGTCGTGTCGGTGCTTCTTTGTTGCCTAGCGACCGCCTCAAGCCGCTGCTATAGAGCCGAATCGCTTTAACGGCAGAATAATGTATAAAAAAAATGTTGTTAAATGATTGAACGTGAAAAGATGGATCGGCTCTTTTTCCAGCATCAATAAATGAATGTGGTTCATTAATTGTGCTGCTTCTCCTTTCAGACCTCGCGGCTCGTTGTTGGACGTGAATAAAAGTGAAAACGGCTTCACATGGAGGAGGAGGAGGAGGAGGGAGGCTGAAGCAGAAAGGACGACACCGACCTTCATGACGGGCTGAGCGAAGTACTTGGCGCTCCAGTCGCAGAGGCCCGTCTGCAGCGCGGCGCTGATGTAGTTCCTGTGAGCGCCGGGCTCGTCGCCGTCCTCGGCCGCCTGAAAGACGAACAAACACACCGTCAGACACACATGGACTGGATCCTAGACCACCACCGATGGTCCAGACATGGACTGGATCCTAGACCACCACCGATGGTTCAGACATGGACTGGATCCTAGACCACCACCGATGGTTCAGACATGGACTGGATCCTAGACCACCACCGATGGTTCAGACATGGACTGGATCCTAGACCACCACCGATGGTCCAGCACAGAACCCAGAGAGCTAAAGCAGCTTCCTAAACATGTTGGTCCAAACCCAGATCCAGCCGTCCTCTGATCTATTCACCTCCGTCCACTAAAGAAAACCAAAACTAACCACTCACTCAACTAGAAACTGAACAAAGTAACGAGGTCTGGATAACGTCTTTACAACGTTTTATGGATGTTGCATTGAGAACATCCATCCATTGTAGAAATGTGTTACAGAGGAACGTTCTAATATGTGTTCCCTCAACACAAAGTGCAGGGAAGAACGTTCTTCCTTTGTTATCGTGGAACACTGTGAGAATGTTCATAATGCGCTCTCTCAACAAACAGGCAAAATGTTCCACCTTTAATATATTAGCTCACAGAAATGTTATAAAACCGTTTGTGTAACAGAACATTTTTTCAACGCTGGTTTGAGAACGTTCTTCCTTCGTTATTGTGGAACACTGTGAGAACATTTTCCAGAAGAGCGTTCTAACATTCCCTCAACAAAGTCTAATAAAGACGTTTCTGTCATCGGAGGTGTCAAGATTATCCTGAAAACATTTTCTGAACGTTTCATCGAGAACAATCTTCCTTCGCGGAGCCATTTTATCGAACGTTCTACAAACGTTGTAGCTGAAGAACATCTTCAGGACATCTTTTCTGTTCATACACTGCAGCACAGAAACATTTTACGAGGTTGTTCTGTCTTCTAAAAACGTGGAGAACAGTTTTAGAACGTCGGTTTGAGAACGTTCCTCTTCAGTCGTCACGGAACATCATCTGCGTTCCTGATAACGTTCTCTAAACGCTCACATTAATACATTATATTAACGTTACAAGAACATTACTGGAAATGAAAACATTCCTTTCTGTGAATAAAATCTTGTGAGCAATGTTATTGAATGTTGTGGGAATGTTCTCTAAGGGTTACTGGATGTGTTTGCTGGTTCTCCTACCTGCTCCGGGCCCTTGTCGAACATCTTGCGGGTTCGGGGGAACTGGTGGGAGTGGGGCGCCTGTCCTCCCAGGGTCGGGGTGTACGGAGGCCGCGAGGCCGGCTGCTCTCTGGTGGGCGGTTTGGGAACGTCGTTGGTCAGGCTGGAGCTGCTGGTGCTGGGCATGGGAGGAGAACCGCTGCAGGAACAGAGGACCGAGTTCAGGGTGGAGCTCTAACCAACACTCGCTGTGAAAAGGTATGGCAGGATGTTCTGTTCTGAGCACGACGCTACGTGACGACAGCGACACTGACACTGGATAAAAACAATGAATGCAATAAAAACCCCGACATAAGACTTCCTGTTCAGATGGGAAAGTCTCACAGTGGCTCCTTATGAATAGAGATGAAACAAGTGCGTAAATTACTCACAGTCTGCCTCAAAGTTTGACTCTAGTCGTTGATTAAAGTCTCTGAAACTCATCTGTGTCTCAAACTTGGATATTATTGCATCATTTCCCCATAAAAACAATCCCTTTAGGCCTTAAACTGTAGCTTTAGACCCCCTAAGAATATGTAAACAAGTACAGCGGAGCTTTGAGTGAGGTCTGAGATAAAGCTAGATGATGATGATGATGCCACCACCATACCTGGACACACATGTGCAGCTGACAACAGTACTGTCGCTATGTCAGTGCAAGCTAACTACAAGCAAGTTATGTGTTTTTCAGTGTCTGTAAATCAATGAAAAAAGCATCTTCTGCCATGTTTTGGACATTCTGCCTTAAAGTTTTATGCTAGTCGTTGATTAAAGCCCCTAAAACTTGGATATTTACACATTTTTCCCCATAAAAACGATGCCTTTAGGCCTTAAAATATAACTTCAGACCCGCTAAGAATACGTAGATGAGCCCTGCCTCTATCTTCATCCACCCTCACTGCGTCTCCAGCATTCCAGCTCACCCTATTCTCTGTAAAATCTGACATAAAGTTAAACGGTGATGCCACCACCATACCTGATCATATCTATGCAGGTGACTGCAGCACCGTCGCTATGTGTTTTTCACTGTCTGCAGGCAGCAAATTACAGAAATTATTTGTAATAAAATGAGTAAACAAATAAAAATAAGCATCGTCTGCCGTGTTTCTCTGGGGCGGTGAGGCCACTTTCAACCCTCTGAACCGAAAACCTGCTGTTTGGTTGGAAAAAAATCACCAAAGAATAAATAGTTTAGTTTTTTAACTCTGCAGGAGTCCTTGAATTATTCATTTGTGATGAAAAAATGTGAACAAAACCTGACATCTCATTAAAATCCCTTTTTTCTGTACAACTTTTTAAAATGTCCCCAAAAACAACTTTTTGGCTTAAAGTAAATTCTGTAAAAAACCTAAAAAAATTCTGTAATCCTCGATGCAACTGAAAACGCAGGATGGACTCATGGATGAAAAATTCGGGAACTTTTCGGCCGAGGAAACAAATAATAAACGTAAATAGTAAAATATCCATCCTTTAAATACTGCTGACACTTGGACCAAATGTCCTACATGCTGATTCCAGGTTATTTTTCTTATTTCTGTAAAATAAATATTTAATTTCTCTCTACATCCAGTCCTGTTTGTTCTGTTTCCATCGAGCTGCAGGACTTTAAGTGAACAATGAGCCCACAGTGAGTTAAAAATGTGACGGGAAGAATAAAAAAAGAAGCCCAGAATAAAAAAAGAAGCCCAGAATAAAAAAAGAAGCCCAGAATAAAAAAAGAAGCCCAGAATAAAAAAAGAAGCCCAGAATCAACCTGGGGCTCAGAGGGTTAAGGTAGGAAAAAAAATAAACTCCTAATTATGCAATTTTAATTCACAGCGATGACTTTTTAGAGGTTTAATCAATGATTTAGGTTTGCTTTTATTCATGCGCCCATGATGCAATATTTAGCGAGACGGGCCGTTTAGCCACGACACACTTATCCTGCCAGACATGATGCATCTTTTGTTTGCTAGCGGGAAGGCTAAGTGGGCCGTACGCATGATGCATACGCTTTGGGGGGTTTTTACTGTAATGAGTTTTCCGTGTTGGTGTGCGCTACACATCCGTCCTCACCCGGCCTGGTGGATGTGCGTGCCCTTGCTGGTGGGGCTGGCCGGCGCCGACTGCGTGAGCGATCCCGAGTCCAGGATCCTCTGAGGTCTGGCGTTCATGGTCGCCTGAGGAGGAAGACAGTCATCGAGGTTAAAGCTGCATCCAATCCATTTCACAGACAAACTCTGCATTTAAAGAAAAAAAAAAGTTTTCCTGAATTTTCGAGAACTTCATCCCGTTAGTCGGAGCGGGTAACACAAGCTCTTCGTTGCTCGACGTCTAATGGTTGCTCACGGGGGAGGGGAAAACTTAATAAAGACAATAGAGGCGAAGCGTCACTGATGAATAGCTGCTGTTTGCTCGAGCCAGGTGGAGAGGAAAGTCTCCGCAGCGTAAATCCAGTTAGCACAAGCAAACACATTCTACGAGCCTCTGATTTGATTTCTATGCTAATTACAACGTTGCAGCGAGCGACGTTTGTTTGTGCGAGAAAAGTTTTCAATGCAAAGTTTACACACACACGAGCAATACAGACATCAGTTAGCGGTTAGCGCTTCATTAAAAGCCAATCGGAAGGGAAACAAATCAGGCGTAAAAGCAGCTCTAACTATTATAACGGGAAAATGGCTCCGTCGCTAATCGAAGCTCCTTTTCTGCTCAACGAGATCAATAAAAGATCAGGATTATTACAGGCTACCTCTGACTCAACATAAGGTGAATATACGAGATCAGCTTCATTCATCCCCAGAGGACAGTAAACAAAAGGTGAGAGGAATGAACACAATTACAGAAAGTCATTAAATAGGCATCGAATAAGAATAGTACAAAATGCAGTGTCCAAGAAAATAAGTTAATGGAAGCTAAATAACAAGAAACATAAACAAGCAGATGTGTTGCACTGGACGATGATGACGAGAAGCAGTGAGAGTGTTTGGAGACAACATACGAGTATCCAGACATTTAATCAGGCTAAAACAAAACCTACACCACAGCACATACAAAACAAACGTGCACAATTTCATTTTTTATCACCTCAAAATACCACAAAGATCTCATTATTTCGTGAGTTCATCAGACGTTGACGTGGTTGCAAAGATCAGAAAATGGATCTGAAGTGCTCTTCAGCCGTCTCAACAGAAACATAAAAACGAACGATTTTGCTAAAACTGAGCTGCAGAATTATTATCTGTTGGAATCCCAGCTTCAGAAACCTACAGTTTAATTCTAAC